ATATTGATCATGAACTGCTGTTTAAGTGCCTTTCCCCTAAGCTACGCGTTTCTCCAAACATAGGCAGGCACCATTGTCTGTCTTACCGGGGCGTTCGACCAGTTCTGGTTGAATGTTCCCTGAGTATTCCCATCCCATGCTTGGTCCCCACACTTAAATTCCACCACCAAAAGAGGTCCGCCTGAACTTACGTTGAATAGCCATGACCAAATGCTTATCTATGGGGGAAAGACACAGAAGCCACATGCTCCCATTCTTTTTGTGATCTCTTATGTTCATATTGTCTTCGAACCCAGCTTTGTACAAATTGAGAGGTAGAAACTATTATTACAGATAAGGGATGGGGGTTGCCATGTTTGAGGTGTGTGTGTGGGGGGGGGGGGGGGATTTGTAAAGCTTGGTGAGTTTTAGATTGGTCAATTTTCAGGCTGACTATGTGATTCAAGGATGGGTTGTTGGAGTAGATTCTATATTTTGGATTCGTTTTTGCCTTTTTGGGCATGTCATGATACTCAATAGAATTTAGTACTTGGCTAGCCGTTGCTTGCATGTTGGTGGGGAAGGGACACACATACCTATTAGGATGTTTTTAGGTGGAATGGTTTCAGTCTAATACTAGACCAGACTTAAATAGAACATACCAGACTTAAATAGAATAGACCAGACTTCAATAGTATTGAAATACACATAGACCAAACATCTACCACACCAGTTCTGATCAGAACGGACCAGGGCAAACCATAAAATGTCACTCTAATTAAGAACATCCTCACAGTGCATAAAAACATATCGTTGACTTATTCATTTCCTCCCACCTGAGCTCTGATCCCTGCATGCTCAGGTGGAATAAAGGTGGAATTGAATATAAATTTTGTGCCTCAGTGGGAGAAGAACATGTAGGTAGTAGGGACTAAAGAGTATTTCATGTACCATATTTTGAGTTGAGGGAATAGAACCAAATAGAAATATTAAAGTTTGTATATTGCTTTGGAACGATATGTGAATATTTGACATTACAACTAAAATGGCTCTAATAAAGAAACTGTGCATTTGGGATTGGTGCACATATAATTGCAATCATTGGTCTAGCTTTGGGTTTTATGGTCGTCAAACTGCCACCAAACACATAAATTACTCTCTTTTTTCTCCATACTCATACAGAATGATGATTCCTTCTGGGGGAGTGGCAATTCCTTTCCACAAAGTTAGGGTCAAATGTTTTTTTATTGCTATGGGAAAAAGAGTTCCAGACAAACCAACTCCTTGGAGTTATGCTGGAATAATGTATTCTGCGAATTTTTACTCTTGCAACCAAACAGCTTATTAATGTTTGACCTAACACAGCATTCTTGAAACATTATACTTGTACACCAGACCACTGTGCTACAAGCTCAAACCTAAATGAGAGTAAAATAAATACATAAATAAGTCATAGAGGCGTAGGTGGTCTAACTGGTTCTGTTTAAGCCTGATAAAGTGATAAGGGGTAAACTTACTCTATTCTGAGGTTGATTATTGTTCTGATAACAATAAATAAAACATTGAGTAGTTCTGTAATGTTTATCCAGATGTACCATGCAAATTGTACATCCTATTGAGCCTTCTTCAGATATAAAATGAGTTATATTTATATTTAAATGCTCACTCTTTTGGATGCTAAATGAGTAGTTCGCTCAAAAAATACAAGAATACTAGAATGAAAAATTGCATTCAGATGGATGATATAATTTTCCCCAGATTATAGCTGGTTCTTGTCCAATAGAGGCCTTACCCATAACCATGACCAGTTTTTAGCTAAAATAAAATGGCTATGACTAGAATATGTTTGAGCCAATAATGGAGGTAACGGAACTGTAAAAATGGGCTGCCATCCAGTTTTTATCACTCCGGTCCTGATCTAGATTCGGAACTGGCATCAGGTCCACACCTACCGGATATAGGATAGTGACAAGTATCTTTTCTGGTGTTTTATGTACACCATGATACGACATGTCTTGATTACTGCATTATGTGGTGGTTTTGTAGTTCATTTCACTATTTCATGCTACATTATTCTGATTAGCCCCTAGGCCCCCTATATTAGTATAACTATTATTTTATTTAGTCCCTATACTATTGAGTTTGTTGACTAAATCCATTTTTTTACAACTACGTGAAAGTGTGAAACTATAAACTAGACATGTAAGCAGGCTAATGACGGTTCTTTATGGTCATGTTTACACTTTTACTTTAGTAGTACATGGATTAAGTTTACCAGCCTCATGATGGAAGGACTATACTGAACAATTGAACTTCATACAAGGATTATATTAACTATACTTTGTATATTATAAAGTAGTTCAACATTTATTTACATCTGTGCCTTTTATCTTTCATCCTCACGAAACATCATACAATAAAAGGTCAGGCGTAGTTTCAGTAATTGTTCGAGTATTTCTAACAGGAAGCGTTTGGATGCCACTCTTCAAGATTTAGAAGAAAAGCAGCACAGCAAGAAAGAAATGGTAACTTATTTATGTTTCATGGCCTACATCTATAGTAAATGATTTATCAAGATCAATATGAACGTAAGGAATAATATGGATACTGTCTATGCTAAAGAGACTTATAATGGGTAGCATAAATTACATGCAGTTATTGTGTGTGTCATTTACCTGTTGTGTACTTGATAGCATAAAGAGTAGCCATTGAAACAAATAATGATGCGTTTGGAAGTGTTTGTTCCCTGCAGATCTTTAAATTACAACAGAGAATTCAATCCTCCCAGACAGGAAAGGTCAAAGCTTAATGTACATGAATGTGATGTCTCTCAGCGGTGCAAAGTGATATAATCTGTGTTCGATTTTGAGAATTGCAAAAGTGTGTCGAGCCTCAGTGTTTGAGTTTATTGTGGTTTTAGTTTTGTGGAACAAAAAAGCAATCTTAGATAATCTGTTCTTGAATGAATCACTCATTTTCAATTTTGGGATGATATTATGGAAGTACTAGTCCATGAAATTTAGTATTTAAGCATTGGTATTGGAAAAATAGTTATAGAGAAAGAGTAAAAGTCCAGGGAGACCAATCTACTCTGGACTGACAATTATTTTTAAGACGAACTAATACATGAATTTTTTAACAAGAAACATTACTATGTTTTAAAAGAAAATTAGATGTTCCCGTACAATTGCAGAACCATCGCTTGCTTGTTCTTTGGACGAACACGAATATAAGGCTCCGTTTGTTAAATCTGATTTTTTCTATTGATTCTTATTTATTGATAAGATTTTCTATTGAACATTAAATGGTTCGACTATAGTAGTTGAATCAATAAAGAGATGGTGCCATTGGTGCGTATGGCAATATGCGATACTCTATTTTGATGATTTTTATTTGGTAGATAATAAATTATACTCTCCCTGTCCCAAAAAAATACTTTCTACTTTGACTAGGCATGTTTACTAAAAAATTGGAATAAAGTGGAAATGTATAATTATGATTGTGTAAGAATAAGATAAATGAATGTTAGTCATATATGGAGTGAAAACTTTCCGAAAAAGGTAAGTGGAAGATTTTTTTGGACATTCCAAAATAAATAGTTGGAAGAATTTTATGGAATGAAAGTTGAGGTACCTTAAACTTCAAAAGTATCTTCCTTCATCATCAACATTACCCTAATGCTGCCAAAACTATCTTCTTTAAGAGAATTAATTAAATTCGATTTGTATAAATGGAGAGGTCATATTTCATAAATTTATTATGGCATACAAAGGTTTTAAGAAAACTTTGTTGACCCCGTCACCTGAAAAATACCTCTTTCATAGTTGCATCACAAGTGGCGAATTGACGACGTGGTTTTTGGGTGTTCAAATTTCTGCAAATCTACAATTAAAACTTTAAACAAGAATAACTAATTACTCTGAATTTACACATACATGCTCACACAGTTAGTTAAATACGGTACGAGAATTAAACGAAGTTTAATACGTACGCGTTTTATTCAGTAACACGAATGAATAAAACGGTCAAAAATTCGTTGAAAAATAAAGTCAAAAAAATGAGGCATCATGACTGTAGATGAGACTAAGCTAAAATCATTATCTTTATATGATCATCAAATAATACTCAAGATAAACTCATTATTTTATCAAGATGATGGAAGCATATGAGAAAAGTACATTGTATGCTACGCTTATTATATGATAATACTCAAGTTAAACACATTATTGTTTATGTGTAAAACGGTAAAAGTATATATACTAAAAATATGTCAGGTTTAGAAAAACCTTAATTTGATATGCTTGATTGGGAAAACATCATAAATCTAGTAGTATTTAAAGTTTTGGTATTTAATTTTAGAAAACTAGCTTTAGCCGTCATGCAATTAATTTTAGTATTTGATAATTGCTTTGTAACAATAAAAACACGCAGTCACGAGGAGGATATTTTTCTTTTCGCTTTTAAGCTATTGTTGATCTCCTATGCATTTTATGCACTTATTCAATTGATCAGTTCATGTTTCTATTTTTTTGTAAAATACGAAAAAAATACGTTTTATACGGGAAGTAGGAGTTTTTTTTCTTTTTAAACGGACCGACATTATTTTTCGTTATAAACGCGTTTTTTTGTTCAAAAAAACGGTACGTATTTAAAACGCGTTTAAAACGGAAAAAAGCTAACTAGGGCTATATGAACCATTAAATTAAATCCTTCACAGCATTAAAAGGCAAAATATAGAATGCCTAAGAGGCAATCTGTAACTCCATCTCCAGAGCTATAAAATCAAATTCCAAATTTCATTTTAAAAAACATAATAAGAATGCTGCAGCAGTTATGTTTTACCCTTCAGCTTGACCATTTCGTTAGCATTTTTTAAATCGAGTTTTCCGTTTACAGTGCCTGCGACATCAGCTTATAGACCAGGGACATCCCAAGGCTTCCCCTTTCTTCCTTTAGCTTTGTTGATTTATAGTGGCTGTATTTAACTATGCACAGTAGAGCCACTCAGCCACATTCATATTGCTTGAACGAGTCCTTGTTTACTTGGAAGATGATCTATCAAATTACATTAGCATTTCAAATTTTGGTACAAAAGTATTAACCTTTGAAAAGTCCAGCAATTACAAGGAACAAAAATATAGTACATCTATAGTACACATATGACATATCAGTATGACTAAAATACATATTTAATCACCAAAGGAAGAAAAAAACGACTCCATCCATTCATGAATCATGAATTCATGATAGGGGATTTCCTTTGATGGGAATGGGATGTGCTTCTGTGTTAAATACAAACTGATCCAAGGGGACAACATCACTGTCCCCGAACAGCAAGTATAGGTATTTTAGGGTTTCGCCGAGGAAAAATGTTTCCATCTTGTCTCTTCTCCGGGGTGGAATTATGGTGACATCATCAAGGGAAGTGTAACCTCCAGAGTCAAGTTTTGTGTACTTCTCAAAGGCTTCAAATATTTCCCAGCCCCAGTGCGGTATCTGCAGAGGTGATTACACATTTTGACATAATTATCAACTTTTTAGCGGGACGCACAACCATATAAGCAAATATCAACGGGGTCCGTTTAGAACCCGGAAAATTCAAGGGAAATAAAAAATAAACTAGAATACAACGGTCTTATGTGGGATATATACTTATTTTAGTATTTATGAGTAAAACCATTCATAAAACGGTTACGGAGTTGTTGTGTGAATGAGAAGTCACGGGTTCAAGTCTTGGGAGCGTCCCCTTGTCAATATGACAAGAGAAGGCGTGCCCCTTATAGTGGCGGGATCCCTCCCCAGACCCTTGCCTTGCGGGGACGCCAATGGACACTGCGCTGCCCCTTTAACTTCTGCACCATCTATTTCTTTTCCTTTCCCTATCATTTTCCGGGATCCAAACATACCCTCTAATAAAGAGATTAGACAAGACAAAGAAGCATGTAAATGAATAACAAGGCATACTTGGGATCTTCTGTGATGCGATACAATATCATCAATGATTCAACAGTTTCAGGACGCAAGAGATTGTGACGATCAGCCGGTTTTATGATTATGTCATTCACATATTTTGAACTTTTGTTTCCACCATCAGAACCACCCCCAGAATTTCCCTGCTTAGGATCAGGCCCAGTCCTGATGGGATAAAGGCCCTGTTCAAAATCAAATAGAAGGCCCTAAACAATAGAGTATGATATATATAAAAAATTAAATACATGTAAAACTAAAATACAAATACAATTATAAAAAGATAATCAAAAGTATCAAAGTCAAATACTCAGTAATATATTTTGATTTTAAACTTGATTTTGCTTAAAAAACTATCTTTAATTGAAAAAATATCCAGATTTCTAAAACCACTTATGTCTAAATGAATAAAATAAAGAATTCAAAGGGCATACTCTGTATTGAGTTTATCGTTTTTTTTTCAATTCTCGAAGACAAGTTCCAATTTTCCAAACATACTACTCCGTATCAATTAAATTCTTATTCTTTTCCCTAAAGACCCAATATTTGGAGGCCCTTCATCACATGAGGCCCTGTGCGGTCGCTCCAGTTGAACACCCTCAGGGCCGGCCCTGCTTAGGATAAGAATAATAAGACTAACATTAATAACATCACAATTCACAAGAATGACTATAATAATGATAGTATTAATAATAACAATAATAACAATTACAACTAAGAACACTAACATTAATAATATTAGCAATTATTACCATTGTAATCTGTAAAGCATTACTATTTTAAACTTTTTAAAGCATTACTACACGTGCTCTGGGATTATTGAATTATTATTATTATTATTACTATTATTACTATTTCTATTATTATTACTATATTACTACTATTATTATATTATTATTATTATTATTACAATTATTATTACTATTATTTTAGGGGGAGGATACAAATGGGAACAGAACTGGTTATGCAATATACGGAGTATTGATTTACACTCTTAGGAAGCAAGCACTTCTCACACCTTGCCCTCAAAATCATAAAGAGATGCAGATAAAGATATCAAAGAATTTATTGGTACAGCATTAATAACTGTAGGCAAGTAACCGTTCTAAAACATGAAATACCACTTTTAAGAACTAAACAAATACACAAGATGGAAGAAGCATGTCACACTACTTTCTTATTACCCTTTCTTGAATGTCAATGGGTAAACATGGTCTGAAAAAGTCATAAACATGTAAATACTTGAAACCACTGGAGATAAAATTGGAAAATCTTGAAAGAATAACAATAAATTTGCTTCTCATTGATGAAAGTAGATCATAAGACTGTTAATCAATTGACCATTTCGACTTTCTTTAAGCTTTCAAAGTTGAGCCAGAAGGTTTAATGGAAAATAACATACCAGGTGATCCATCTTTGGAACAAAGTCCCCTTTTGGCCCATAAGGCAGTTCTCCAACGAACACCAACCCATTTGGAACAGATTTCCTAACAAGAAGGTGTCTAACACCCTTCATTGCTTCCATATACATATCATATAAGTATGAGCAGTTACTTCCCCGTTGTTGAAGCCACACCTTTATAAGATACTCATAGTAGCTATCACCACGAGATCCAAGTCTAATATTGTCTCCACTAAAATCTCCAGATTGAGGGCTGCCGTTACAAGGTCAATACAATAAATTACAACTAGGTTTTAAACAACCACATAATTTTAGATCAATCCTACACACTACGAATTTATAGCTCCTTCACAAGTAAAATATAGCCCTGCAACTATAAGAATGTAAAAAGAGAAGACACTCTTACTGTTTATAGATTAGTGCTGCTTTATCGAAAATAATTGTTCTAAAAGAAGTCTCTTTTGATACCAAGGGACCATCAATTGCTCTCTTACCACTATTACTCTTCTCCTTTAAAACATCAATGCATTAATGAGAGGTAATCTAGTCATAATGTTGTATATGTATCTCTAATTTACAAAACATGAAAGCACATATTAAGTGTGTGAAGGTCTTAAGTCTTAACTCTTAACCCACACTTATTTGAGGATGTAGTGAGATAGTTGATAAATTCTGTATCTTTTGTATTTCAAAGTCGATGCTTGGGATTCTATCCGAATAGAAAATTAAACCCATACCTAATATATATGGGGACGAGACCTTCATGTTTCGGTAGAGTTTTAATATGCTCCAAAACTTTCATGGCTTCTCCACTGTATTTTGGGTCACCAGTTAGAAAACTGAGATAATTAAATTCAAGCTGTAAAGATGCCCCTTCAGCTGTACTACTCAAACCGTCAGGAGCTGCATGTGCAGAACGTTCATGCAAAACCACATCGCTGAAGGGTATATCAGAAGGGCTTGAAGTGAAAGCAATGAGAAGATGATCTGCCAAGTTCCTAGCATTCTCTAGATAGATATCAGATTTAGGCCCCTTGAATAATGGATTTCCCCCTTGCTCCCCACCACTTAAGTGATAAGCACTTAGAAGACCACCTAGCATACGTATTGTCGTTTCAAATAAATTTACTTGTCCTTTGTTGTTTACCCTCTCAGGAAGGTGTATTAAATAGTGATGCATTTATCTAGAATATTCTATGTAGAAAAGGCTAGAGATGTTCTAGAGAAATATAGCTACAAGTATTCTAGAGAATTCTTCACTAGAGAATTCTTATGTAAAATCTAGATTAATTAGACATAGTTGTAGAATACTCTAGAATCATATCATTTAATAAGGATCTAGAATGATCCTCTAGCACCTATAAATAGGACTCATTGTACTCATTTGCTTACCAAGCAAACCCAAGCAATATCAATACAATACTTCTTTTCTAGATATAAGAGTTCTACTCTAAAACACCTCCTCTATACTACACCTCACTAAAATCACTTATCATATTCATAGACCTACAACCTCTTCTATTTTCTAACAAGTGGTATCAGAGCCAGGTTCGATCATAAGCGGGCGTTATGGCGACATCAAGCTTCTCGGTATCGACTCCGATGTTCAACGGAGAAAGCTACGACTATTGGAGTGTCCGTATGAAGACTTGCCTAGAATCACATGATCTTTGGGATATTGTTGAAGAAGGAATTACCATGCCGGAAAAAGGAAGCGACAACACATCAACTTCCGAGGTATGTAAGAAACAAAAGCAGCAAAATGCTAGAGCTCTTTATCTTCTTCAACAATCCGTTAGTGATACCATTTTTCCGAGAATAATTCGTGCTACTACGGCAAAAGAAGCTTGGGATATTCTTAAGGAGGAATTTCAAGGAAATGAGAAGGTTAGAACTATTAAATTACAAAGTTTAAGAAGAGAGTTCGAAATTTTGAAGATGAGAGATTCTGAAATGGCAAAAGATTATTTCTCTCGGGTTATACATATAGTCAACGAAATGAGAACTCTTGGAGAAAACATAACCGACGAGAAAATAATCCAGAAGGTCTTAATCAGTCTCCCTGAAAAATATGATCCAGTAGTTTCGGCTATTGAGGAGTCAAAGGATCTATCAAAAATGTCCATCACTGAATTAATGGGGTCGTTAGAAGCACGTGAGCACAGGCTGAACAGACGACATGAAAGTTCATTAGAAAGTGCCTTCCAGTCTAAGCTCAACATTAAAAGGAATGACTCAAGAAGTGGTGGAAACTTTAAACCTCATAAAGATGGGAATTCTAACCACAAGGAGAGGAAGACAAACTTTCCACCATGCAAAATATGCAAGAAGACTAATCACTTAGAGAAAGATTGCTACCATCGAGGAAAGCCACAATGCAGAAACTGCAAGAGGTTCGGGCATGAAGAAAAAGACTGCAGAGATAGAAGAAATTACCAGGCCAACTATTCTGAAGATTTTAAGGAGAAGGAGTACATGTTCTATGCATGTCACTCAGCAATGGAAGCAAAAGAAGAAGAGTGGTACATCGATAGTGGGTGCAGCAATCACATGACATCCAACGAAACCATCTTCCATGAGTTAGACACTTCTATCAAGACAAAGGTCAAGATGGGCAATGGCGAATTGGTGGAGGCAAAAGGGAAAGGTACCATTGTCATTGATACAAAGAAAGGTATGCGTTATATTAGAAATGTTCTCCTAGTGCCACGCCTTGCACAAAATCTACTAAGTGTTGGCCAAATGATGGAAAGTGGATATGCCCTGCACTTTGAGAAAAATTCTTGCCGAATCTATGACAAGAAAAATAACCAAGAAATTGCCGAAGTAAAAATGGGAAATAATAGAAACTTTCCCATTCAATGGCAATATCCACAAAAGGCAATGGTAGCTCAACTGAGTGATACGAGTCTGTGGCATCGAAGATTTGGGCACTTCAATCTCAATGCCTTGAGATTACTACATCAAAAGAATATGATGAGAGACATGCCTCTACTGAATGAAAAAGAAGGAGTATGTGAAGGATGTATGGTTGGGAAGCAGCACAGGCAACCATTTCCAAAAGAGAAGACATGGAGAGCCAAACAGATACTAGAGCTTGTCCACACCGATGTCTGCGGTCCAATGCGCACACCTTCAGTTTCCAAGAATAGGTACTTCATACTTTTCATCGATGATTACTCAAGGATGACATGGGTGTATTTCTTCCAAGAAAAATCCGAAGTTTTTAGAATATTCAAGAGATTCAAGAACTTCGTGGAGAAACAAAGTGGTCATCAAATCAAGAAGTTGAGAAGCGATCGAGGTACCGAATATAACTCAAAAGAATTTGATCGTTTCTGTGAAGATGAAGGCATGGAGCATCAACTAACAGTAGCATACACTCCACAACAAAATGGGGTATCCGAAAGGAAGAACCGCACAGTCATGGAGATGGCAAGATCCATGCTAGCTGAGAAAGGAATGCCTAAAATGTTCTGGGCAGAAGCAGTGTATACTTCAGTCTACCTACTCAATCGATGTCCAACTAAGGCGGTTTTAAACAAAACACCTATTGAGGCATGGTCGGGACAAAAACCTTCAGCCAAACATTTGAAGGTCTTCGGAAGCATATGCTACATTCATGTTCCCTCTGTAAAAAGGCACAAGTTGGAAGACAAGACAGAGAAGGGCATCTTCCTCGGTTACAGCTCCAAATCCAAGGGATATCGAATCTATAATCTCGAGACTAAGAAACTAGTGACAAGTCGAGATGTGGAGTTTGATGAGCAAGCCTCTTGGAATTGGGAGACGGAAAGAGTTGAAAGAAAGACAACTACTACCCAAATAGAGGAAAACCCAGAAGAAGAAGATCACGATCAACAAAGTCCCACATCTACTCCAAGATTCTCTTCCGAAGCCAATACATCAAGCGAACATGACTCCTCGCCAGAATCCCCACCCCTTCGGGTAAGAACTCTAGCAGACTTATATGAGTCTACTGACGTCTATGAAACATGCAACTTTTGTTCCTTGGAGCCACATAGTTACACTGAAGCCTCCAAAGAAAAAGTTTGGATTAAAGCAATGGAGGAGGAGATAAAAATGATAGAAAAGAATGATACTTGGGAAATGGTAGATCTTCCACATAACAAGGAGGTTATTGGAGTCAAATGGGTGTACAAAACGAAACTGAACCCTGATGGCTCAATTCAGAAGCATAAGGCAAGGCTGGTTGCAAAGGGGTATGCTCAAATACCGAGAGTTGACTACACAGAGACGTTTGCACCAGTTGCCCGGATGGACACAATAAGAACACTCATAGCTCTTGCAGCTCAAAAGAAATGGAAAATTTATCAGCTAGACGTTAAATCAGCCTTTCTAAATGGAGAACTAAGAGAAGAAGTGTGTGTGGAGCAACCAGAAGGATTCATCAAAGAAGAAGGAAAAGTTCTTCGTCTAAAGAAAGCACTTTACGGGCTCAAACAAGCTCCACGAGCCTGGTATAGCAAGATTGATGGATACTTCACCCGTCAAGGGTTCAGGAAGAGCAATAACGAGGCTACACTATACATCAAATCCCAAGGTAAATCTGACATTCTCATCATCTCTCTATATGTTGATGACTTAATTGTCACGGGAAATAATTCAAAATTAATTGAAGAATTTAAGAGAGACATGATGAACACCTTTGAGATGAGTGACTTGGGATTAATGCATTACTTCCTTGGCATGGAGATAAGTCAAGAAGAAGAAGGCATCTTCTTATCTCAAGAAAAATATATTAAGGACATGCTAAAGAAGTTCAAAATGCAAGACTGCAAAGCCGTCGTTACTCCGTTGGTTCCTAATGAGAAATTAAAGAAAGAAGATGGGTCAAAACCAACGGATGCTACCAATTACCGGAGTTTGATTGGGAGTCTACTCTACTTAACGGCTACGAGGCCGGACATAATGTATGCTACAAGCTTGCTCTCGAGGTTCATGGAAAGTCCAACTGAGACTCATTATGGAGCGGCAAAGAGACTCCTTAGGTACCTACAAGGAACCATCAATTATGGTATTTGGTACAAAACAAGTCCTGACTCACGACTAAGTGGATATAGCGATAGTGATTGGGCTGGATCTCAAGATGACATGAAAAGCACCTCCGGTTACGCATTTAAGCTGGGTTCGGGAATTTTCTCATGGGGATCAAAGAAGCAAGATTCTGTTGCACTGTCTTCAGCCGAAGCCGAGTATGTTGCAGCAGCCGGAGCAGCGTGCCAAGCTATATGGCTAAAAAGAATATTAGAAGACATGGGAGAATTGCAAAGTTCTGCGACTGCGATATTTTGCGACAACAAATCAGCTATTGCGATGACTAAAAATCCAGTTCAGCACAATCGCACTAAGCACATCGATATCAAGTATCACTTCTTGAGAGATGTTCAAGCAAAGGGACAAATTGAGATGAAGTACTGCCCAACAGAAGAACAATTGACAGATATTTTCACGAAGGCTCTGCCAAGAGACAGGTTCCAGTTTCTGCGAAGAATGCTTGGAGTCACCGACAAATGCATCAAGGAGGAGTATTAAATAGTGTTGCATTTATCTAGAATATTCTATGTAGAAAAGGCTAGAGATGTTCTAGAGAAATATAGCTACAAGTATTCTAGAGAATTCTTCACTAGAGAATTCTTATGTAAAATCTAGATTAATTAGACATAGTTGTAGAATACTCTAGAATCATATCATTTAATAAGGATCTAGAATGATCCTCTAGCACCTATAAATAGGACTCATTGTACTCATTTGCTTACCAAGCAAACCCAAGCAATATCAATACAATACTTCTTTTCTAGAGATAAGAGTTCTACTCTAAAACACCTCCTCTATACTACACCTCACTAAAATCACTTATCATATTCATAGACCTACAACCTCTTCTATTTTCTAACAAGGTGGCTTTCAATCCATGAGCCTGCCACCTGCACAATCTCGTGAAGCCCCATTATCATGGCTGTGTCCAAAGCATCTACAACTGTAGCTCCCAAGCCTCCCAAACCGTCAACTCCCCTGTGGCTAAGTGGCATAAGCTCATCATA